ATATATATATATATATAAAAAAAACACTTCTAGCCTCCAACTTTCTGGCCATGCTCAGTAGGTCTCCCACTCTGGCTTCATATATTTACTGTTAATTCCTAAGTCAACTCAGGACTCCTTTTTTCTAATCTCAATTACTTGATATAATAAAGACAATCTATGTTTCCCTGATTAGGAATCATTAGTCAATTAGTTATAATGAGATATAAAAGAAAAAGAAAAATTCTCCAGGGATATATAATGACCAGCAACCATACCTTCCAGAAGTTACTTATCTATTTTCATGAGCTTTCTTTCTGTCTGGATGGAAACAAATGGTATTTAAGCACAAATAGATTAAAAACCGATTTTGGAGGTTTGGTGATAAGGAAATAGATATCAATTTCCTGTTCCCTGCCTTTCTAATGGGCAAGCTTTCAGCAGACCCAGCGCCAGCTGCACTGCGTGGAAGACTGAATATTGATTGCAATGATTGGGAAGAAACTGTTGACAGAGTCAACAAAATCATGTTCTTTGCTGCCAAAGCACCCAGGCTTCTCCATCCTTGGCATGTTACAGCTCTCTGCTCGCTCTCCCCCTCCCCTCTGCACTCCTCACTCCCTTTTCTCTGAGGAGACTCCTGCCTCTCAAAAAGAAACAGCAGGTTATTTTAAAGCCGTGACCTGAGAAGGCCTCCTGGGTGAGCCACTCCAGCTGCCTTCTGCAGATCCTAATTGCACATCTGCAGCAAAGCTGCTATAGTATTTGCCCAGAAAACAAACCCCTGTTTCCTTAACCAGACCTGGGTGGCCATTCTGCTGCTATGAAAAGCATACTGTTTGATTATTATTATTATTAATATTATTAGATCGTACACATGAATATTTTTTAAGACAATGAATGGGAACTTTAGGTAAAAACTGCCCCCATTCACCTGATGAGACTCTTTTTTGAGCTGCTGGTAAATGTGATTCCAAAACCATCTAGACAAGGCAGAGATGTCAGGCCTGGTGGCTCTGTCCCGTTCAGTGATTGGCACTTATCAGTTTGTCACAATGGACTCTGGCATTTCTGCCTTGGGGACACACAGTGTGGAAGGAAATGGGGTAAAGGTGAGGATCAAGTGGGGAGCAAAGGAAAAGCCATATTTGTCAGGCACAGCTTTGAGGTTTTACTCACATGTGTTGGGAGGCATTGGGGTACAGTTTTGAAAACTGTGGGGCCGAGTCCTCGGGGCCGTGGGGCGCAGCGTGGCTGATCACCATCATAATGGGCCTATGGGGATACATTCTCTTAGACATTTTGAAGTAATTAATGCTCTCGTTAGTGATTAAGTCTGTGAAGTAGTCCTGAAACATACATTTGACACAAAACAAAAATTACAAAAGGTGACATTCATCAGAACACATTTGAATACTGCTTTTCTCAGAAGCCTGAACGAAGAGGTAAAGGTTTAAAACATGAAAGAAGATGGTAGCTTCTGAGGCAGCAAAACATCTTCAAGAAAAGACAAAAATCAGTTGCTAGTTAATTTTGAGGGTTGCTGGCTTAGTAACATGCAAAAAAAATTGTATTTTAAGTAATGCACAATTTAGCAATTAGGGAAGAAAAAAGACAAGTTGTGTTTGCCCAAGATAACGATCAGACCTGGCAATACACGCACTAGCACACACGAAGCACCGGATATATATTTCATTCTCAGGTTTTGTTGTTGTAATTCGTTGGCAAAAGTTTTAATTACTTCAAGGGCAGGAAACACCCACGCCCACCTCAAATTCACAGTTGCAGAACACACACGCACACTCACACACACATACTCATGTACACACAAAGGCACAAACACAAGAAAGGATCTTTTCTTCACATTAAAAATTCACCTGTGGGAATAACATAATAATCACTAATCAAAGCCATGGCCAAAATCTGGGAGCACAGGGGAAAGCTGCAACATTTTATCAATTAGTTTATTTGAAACACTTAAATATGGGGAGTGGTTGATTTCCTGCAGATTATACTGTGTTAATTGCACAACTAAAGTAATATAGCTGCTGGGATTAGAGCCTGTTGCTAATAAAATGACTTAACCCACTGTCAGGGGGGCTGATGCAAGTCTGTGAGGGGGTGGGAGGGAAAAATAAAGAAAGGATGAAAACTTAAATCAAACCACCTGCTTCCTCTAAGTGTGTATCACTGGGCTGGAAGTTTCAGTCTAAACTTTATTCAGAAAGTCCCAGGCCATGTTCACAACGTCAAAGACTTCCAGGCATGGCTAGTCACATGTTGTGGATTTAAGGACCAGAACAGCTGCAAAAGCAGTGCTCAGGGGACAAAATCTGTGTCACATGTCATTGTGAGGACAAGTCCGCAGGCTTGTCCCCTTCCTCCATGAGGGTGTCTGTTTTTATTTCTTTCCTCACTACAAAAAAAAAAAAGATATATCTTTTATTTATTTATTTTTTTTCTGGACACAGTTGTCTTTGACACTTAATCTGCTGTGATAATGAGCAAGTTAGGCTGATTTAGTATTTGGAAAGAATCTTGATTACTTTGCTCTCCTTAGGACAACAGGGAATGAAAGGTTAATAGCTTGAACAAGGAGCATGAAAAGCATCCCCACAGATAGAAAGCCATAGCAGTGACAATTAGTGCGTGTGGCACACATCCTTTGCATGCAATGAGTGTAGCCACAACCCGGGGAAGTGACCTGGGGTGTGAGACTGGTGGAACCACTCTGGGCTGCTTTATTCTTCATCTTGTAAAATGAGGACATTGCTCAAATTTGCCTCCAAGGTCCCTGCCAGCTCTCAACTTTGATGAGTCTAGAAGCCTATTAACAATGTTTGTGAATTAATTTGCATTCATTGTGTTCTGAAGGGTACGATCAGAACTTGTACCTTATCTCCTTCCAAGTCCCCTGTGCTCAAATCAGGCCAAGCACAAAGACAGCCATGTGCCAACCACATTAAGTCAAGTTCCCTTTTTCTGTTTCTACCAAGCGCCTAGTAGGAGGGTTGTTGGACGAGAGAGGATGCCATGGGTATGGCTGGAAGGGAAGGGAGCCTTTCAGGCTACATTCAAAAATATTGTCCCTTTTACTCTTATGATCTGAAAAAAATTTTTAAGTAAGCAGTCACAACACCTTTGTGAATTTCTAAGGCAAATCCAGTCTCCACTGGTTAGAGAACCCTGGAACACACCAATTTTGGTTTCTATGAACGGATTTAAAAATCCTGATTGATAGCCCTTGAGACTCGTGTGGACTATGGCTGCCATGGGGCAGGTGTCCTTGTCACATATACTAAGCTTGGTCAGACAGGAGTACAAACAAGGAATGCAGTTTCCCAACCTTTAATTATTACACTTGTCTGCTCTTATTTTTACATCTACGTCTGAAGCCACAGACACAATATTCTTTCACCCCACTGAAAAGCAAAACAGTATAAGATGAACATTTGATTATGTTGACAAGTCCTTCAGAGAAAGGGAAAAACAAAAATTATCACGAGCGAGGGCTGAGGATGTATGATTTTTTTTTTAAATGATACTTTCATCAAGCACTGATTACGGCCATCCTAATGAGGGAGAAAAATTACTACACAAAGGTTGTGTTCCTTGTGAGTCTTTTTCTTGCCTGCAGTTGAAAATTACCTTAAAATTCCTCATTTTAACATTGTGAGAACATAGAAAGCCAATCTTGTGGATAGTTTAACTCACTGAAAATGGCTTTCCCCCATTATGCACAAAGTAAATTGATGCAGTGTAAAAGTGTCTGAAAATTACCTTTGCATAATCAAATCCATGCTTTTCTTTGATGCCATTTCGACAAACAGTGTAATTATAGAAACGAGAATTCTTGATTAATCCAAGCCATTCTCGCCACCCAGGAGGGATGTAGCTGCCATTATATTCATTGAGGTATTTTCCAAAAAAGGCTGCAGTGGGGGGAAAAAGAGGATTATTTTCTCATGTGAAATGATTAATCATAAGTAAATGCCTACGTATGAAATTAAGACTTGAAAAAAAGATGGTGAAATGAAAGTTAATCTAGGTAACATTAATGCCAAAACAACATTAATGTAATACAGGGCTAGTGTTATACATTGAACAAATGTAAGTAGCACCAAGGTATGTGGATTATGGTTTAATAAAACCACCATAATGATTATTGCACTCTTATTTCTTATGGTCCTCCTGGAATACAACCAGAATATATTCTTTTGATAAGTTGATGAAATGAAAAGAGAAGTAGCCAGTGTGAGTTTGGGCTGCTAATCATAGAGCAAGTATTGGAAAGTTCAGACTCTGTAACAAAGTTTTCTAACTTACTGTTTGAGAGTTATGAATTATAAAGACGATGCTGAAAAGCTCATCGTGGTTTTCATATATGTAGAGAGCACAGATTTTTCCAAGCCAGGGAACTGTGGGAAACTCCATCTTTATGGATATGGACAAGGTTTTCATGGCACATGGGTGTTTGTTATGTGTATTACGTGGACATCTATTATTGATAACAAAAAAAATTCTGGGAACACAAAACTTCTACACAGCTCACTAATGTTCATAGAATGACAGTGAAGTAGAAGTACATGTTACACAATTAAAAAGGCCCCTGGAAGGACTTTGCAACTGTAACTTTGGCATTTCAAATCTAAGTCACTATGCAGAAGGCCCGATTGATCTTTTTTCCAAGAGGAAGACTGCAATTTTGCTCCTCTTCTAAAGATGACAAAGATGATAAGGACGGGGGAGTTGGAATATCACAGGAACCAAATGGTTATGTATTAAAGTCAAATAACTTATAACTGTCAGAAGGGTGGCAATTAATGTATTATCAGAGCACTTAACTGAGAAGAGGTGCTATTTGCAATTCTGATTACACTAGGAAAACTGTTACTGGTTGGTCACTTTGAGTATGAGGGAGTGGAGAAAACTTTTATTTTCTATATGTATGTATGCATACATGTCGATGCATGGGTGTGTATAGACACAACACACTTACATACCCACATTTATGCAAGTTTTACTTTTCTGATTCTTAGAAATCTGCAACATTTTGTTTTGGGAGAGACCATGTTTTGTGGCCAGCTAGATACCTACATTGAAACCACTTCCTGGCTTCACTGAGCACGTTTTATAGGTCCCTTCGTTTACATATCTGGCAAAAGGTTAAGTTCTCGGAAGACTGGCTTGGAATGATTTTAAAAAAGAAGAAGGAAAAGAAGATGTGTGTGTGGGAATCCTAAAATCAAGGTACCGTAAGACAGGGGTATTAAAGTGCACATTTCTGAATCTTAAACTTATGCCATGAACTTCACATCTGGGTCTCTGTGGGACAGCCACTTAGCTTGCTTTCATCATTAATATACATTTGCCTGTAAAACATCTCCATCTGAAGGTGCTATGCGCTCATCCAAAATGCGATGAACTATTTTCCCTTTCAAATCAACTTTACTCCTCAGCTATCTTTGAATCCTCCAAGTGGCATAATCACCCTCTTGTTAGATTTTACCATCCAGGACCTCCTCTGATTTCACCTACCCCATCCTCCCCTTGCTGAGTAGTGGCTGCCTCCTGCGATTCCACCTCAGTAACAGGACTCAAATCTGTCCCTTCTTCCTAGGTGACTTGACATCCCATGGATGCTCACAGTGTCACTGCCGGCTCTCTGAGCCAGCTGCAGGGTCTTTCCACCCTCAGTGTCACCACTTAATCTTCCCAAGGACCAGCTGTGGTCATGTCACCCTCTTATCATAATCCTGGATGACCTCTGTTGCCTGCAGAGTCTACCTTGCCCATCTTGGATCTAGATAAAATCCCGATTTTTCCAGCTCATGTTTCATTTCTCCGCTAGTTGTCCCTGTCCCTCCCTCCAGACAGTGTGCTCCCTTGGGTTGAGCTCTGGTTTCTATCCCTCTTAGAATTCTTCTTAGTTATACATATAATCCATTTTGATAAAATTATACAAGCATTGGATATATCTTATTCTAATTAGGACCCCATTCTTGTGGGTAGGCACGATGGTGGGGTTCACTTAGGAATTTTAATATGTATTCATACGAAAATTATTTATTCTATTTTCTTTCCTATTTGTATCCTCCTCCCTTCCTTTTGTTCTCCTTTGTCTAATCTACTGAACTTCTCTTCTCCCCCTCCCCCTTATTGTAGTTTAGCTTTCACACATCAGCAAAAATATTTAAACTTTGGTTCTTAGAGATTGGCTTATTTTGCTTAGCATGATATTCTCCAGATCTATCTATTCACTGGCAAATGTCATAGAGTCATTTTTCTTTATGGCTGAGTAATATTTCATTATGTATATATATACCACAATGTCATTATCCATTTATCTGTTGGTGGGCATCTAGGTTGATTCCATAGCTTAGCTATTGTGAAATGTGCTGCTATAAACACTGATGTGGCAGTGTTACTGTAGTATGCAGATTTTAAATCCTTTGGACATCTGCGAAGAAGGAGTGGGATAACTCCATCAATTGGTGGTTCCATTTCTAGTTTTTTGAGGAATCTCCACACTGCTCTCCAGAGGGGTTGTACCAATTTGCAGGTGCTGGGAAAACTGGAGATCCATTTGTAACGGAATGAAAGTTAATCCACTTTTATCACCCTGCACAAAACTCAACTCAAGTGGATGGAAGAACTAGGAATTAGGCCAGAAACCCTGCTCCTACTAGAAGCAAAGGTAGGCCCAACAATTCAGCTTATTGGTACAGAAACTGACTTCCTGAACAAGACTTGGACAGCTCAAGAAATATAATCAAAAAATCAATAAATGCGAAGGCATCAGAATAAACAGCTTCTTTACAGCAAAAGAAACCATCAAGAGCATGAAAAGAGAACCTACAGAATGGGAGAAAATCTTTGCCACCTGTACCTCAGGTACGGGCATGAACTTCCAGAATATACAAAGAACTCAAAGAGCTTAACATCTCAATAAATAAATAAATAAATCCCACAAGTAACTCAATCAATATATGGACAAAGGAACTGGACAGGGACTTCAAAAGAAGAAATCTGAACTATCAACAAGTATATAAAAAATGTTCAATGTCACTAGAAATTAGAGAAATGCAAGTTAAAAATTACACTGAGATTCCATCTCACTGGAGTCAGAATGGCCATGATCAAGAATACAAGTAACAATAAGTGTTGGCAAGGACGTGGGGAGAAGGTGACACCCTCTACTGTTGCTTGTACTGTTGTCTCCCTCTGCCTTTTGATGGATCCTTCATCTCATTCACACCCTTGTCTGATCCCGCAGCAGGGTGTCCTGTGGCTCTAATGTCATCTTCCCTTTCTCAGCTGTGGTTAGTCATCTCTGTAGGGAATCCCTCTTTGGCAGAGGCTTTTTGAGAGGAGATACTGCCTTGGCCTCATCTCCATCCTTGAACACATCACGGTTTCCATCTTTTTTTGTTCCTTGAGCTGGGGTTCATGGAACACATTGTGAAGTTCTGGGGATTCTGCAAGTTACCGAATTTTTTTTTGTGTGTTTTCACTTGAACTACAAGTTTTTAAAACTGATTTGATTTTCTGAAATATTTTCATAAAATAGAGCTTCCGAGTTCCTGAAGTTGATATTTCTTTCATTTTCTTTGGGGAAAAAAATCTGAGAACCCTGGCTATGTTCATTTATTTGTTCAATCTGTGAGTGAGTGAACCAATCAAGAAATCAGCCAAGTACTTCCTCTCCAGAATCCTGCCTGGGTGAGGGACAAAGTGTCAGAGGGTCTGGAGTCAAATGGCTCAGGATTTCCCTTTGAGCTGACTGTGTGCATGAAGAATTTCTCTCACCTTTAGAGATGGCTCGACCTTTTCACATAGAACCACAAAATGATTTTCCTTTCTGACCAAATGCATCATGACTTAGAGTCACAGGCAGCAGACTAGGGTCACACCCCAGCAATAGTTAGTTCAGAAGAAGACCATTTCCAAGAGCCTGGTATTTAAGAACCTCAGGCTTGGCTCTCTTCTTTGGCTTCCTCCTCTTCCTCCTCCTTCTACTCCTCCTCTTCCTCCTCCTCGTCCTCCTCTTCCTCCTCCTCCTCTTTTTCCTCCTCAGGCCCCCCACCTCCAACTTTTCTCTTCTTTTATTTCCAAGAGGAAAAAGCACAGTGGGTTAGAAATATAAACCCTACAGCCAGCCTGCCTGGGTTGAAATCTTAGCTCTGCCTGGGCCAGCCATTTATCCACAGGCCAGATCCCTCACCTTTCCCCACTCCTATCCCCTTTGTAAAGCTCAAGGATAATGAGAGTAATAATTGTGGCAGGATGGTTGTGAGGACTAAATGAGTTAATCCACATGGAATGTATCTCTCACATACCTTGGCTCATTCAGTGCTGCTACTCTTAGTCTTATTATCATCATCGCCATCATCATTATCCTTGTACCACCCCATCTTCCGATTTTAAATACTTTACCACTCGGCAGTGCAAGGAAATCTTGCTTTACCCTGTGCTCTGCATCATGCATTTGAAAGCATCTCCTGAGAGATTATATACTTTTTTTTTTTAACCACCTGATAGGACTTAGATTTTGGAAATAAATTCTCCCCCATTTGGCTTACATCTTCCTGTTTAATTAGTTTTAAATTTTTTTCCTGCTACTTTTAGAGTTTGTTTTTGTTTTTATTTTTTTCCTTCCTCCTTCTCAAGGCAGCCATGCCAAGTCAGTCCTGCCCTCCCTCATTGTTTAACGTTTTAGGTTATTTTGTAGTGTTTTCTACCCATTGCCATGGCTATCACCCTTTGCCTTAATCCTTCCCTTGTAAATTACTCCTTTAAGTCTCTTAATAGTCCTTGTTATTGGCTTCAGAACTCCCTCCAGGTTTTTGGAGTCTTTGTGTTAATGGAGTGTGAAAAATGTACTTAGGATTCCAGATGTGCCCTCACCCATCACACTTGTTCCAAGCAAGAC